TAAAGCAGTTATAATGCAGTTTGTTGTTTTTTTTTGGTTAGAAAGGGGGGGGGGGTGCGGAAGTAATCCTTTTTTTTTCTTCTGGGATGATACAAAAACAAGAGACATAATGTTTACCCCCCCCCCACCAAACCAACCATATACCGTGGTACAGTTAATCAAATATATATATATATCAGTTTAAATACTTCAATAAGACTGTATTAAAATACCTTAAGCTTATTATAAAACTGTAAAAGACTTTTAAAAAATTGATAAAGATCAAACATGTGCAATCTATGTTCAAATTATATTTCATCACAAAAGCATGACTTTTAAAGTAGGATAGGCGTAAATTATAAATTGTCTGTGCCCCATGCCACTCTTAGCTACGCCTCTGGCACTCACCCCCACCCCGCCCGGAAAATCTGAAAATCCCCCCCTCCCGGGGGAAATTATCTGAAAGAAATACGGCGTATGTTCCTACTGATCCACGCTAAAGGTTGGACGACCTTCTACAGTTTGGTCCTACTGATCCACGCTAAAGGTTGGACTACCTTCTACAGTTTGGTCCTACTGATCCACGCTAAAGGTTGGACTACCTTCTACAGTTTGGTCCTACTGATCCACGCTAAAGGTTGGACTACCTTCTACAGTTTGGTCCTACTGATCCACGCTAAAGGTTGGACTACCTTCTACAGTTTGGTCCTACTGATCCACGCTAAAGGTTGGACTACCTTCTACAGTTTGGTCCTACTGATCCACGCTAAAGGATTGGACTACCTTCTACAGTTTGGTCCTACTGATCCACGCTAAAGGTTGGACTACCTTCTACAGTTTGGTCCTACTGATCCACGCTAAAGGTTGGAGGACCTTCTACAGTTTGGTCCTACTGATCCACGCTAAGGGTTGGACTACCTTCTACAGTTTGGTCCTACTGATCCACGCTAAAGGGTTGGACTACCTTCTACAGTTTGGTCCTACTGATCCACGCTAAGGGTTGGACTACCTTCTACAGTTTGGTCCTACTGATCCACGCTAAAGGTTGGACGACCTTCTACAGTTGTTTTGTCTCTCTATTTGCTTTGAACTATTAACCAACGGATCGTACATGTCATCTGGTAGACATTATTTTAACATAATACGTCGATACCGTTGGCCTAATGATTATT